ACATAGGGCGAAGTGGGGTCTCCCTCAATTTCTCCCCTTTTAGCCTGGTTGCCTTTTGTACTGCAGGAAGTTAGCACCCACCCCTCCTATGAAAAATGAAATATCCTGGGAAATATTAAAAAGGCAGAATCAGATCAGAAATGGAAAAACATGTTTTTAGGCAGGAATCAAGACTCACTTTTCACAGCCCCCACCTTTCTCAGTTGTCCCATTAGGGGGCCCACAGTTAGTTTACTCTACATAGCGAAGATAGGAATAGCCTTCTACAGAAACTCACCACGTGGCATCTGGGAACTTGACCAAACTTGGGACTCAAAACACAGCTTAGAGAGTTAGCCCTATGGGAGTCTGACAACCAATCAGAATACATTTCTTAACACAGGAACAGGAAACAGAGGGGTGGGGCTGAACAGAGTATAAAAAAATCCAGCCACCCTCTTCTTTCTCTTTTCTTCTCCCCCCCCCCAACACCTGGAAGCATGTGATCACCTTTCCCCCCCAAGACTTCAAGCCAATGTGTTCCCCATTAAAACCATCTTTCCAAGCAGCCTCCATGTTCCTTGTGTCTGTTCCTCCACTTGGAGCTGAACCCAGAAGGACATTTCTTCCACCAGTACTGATTGAAAAAATGTCAAAAGTAGATGTTTGTCTCTATTTATGCCCGCCTGTTGTCTCTTCATCTTTGCTCCATCTCTCTCAGGCTCCCGAAAATAGCCAGCGCAGCCAAATGCTGCAGAGAGCGTTGAATTGCAAGAAAAATGCCCTATTTGGCTTATTATTGCTCCTGCTACTGCCACCAGGGCCCTCTCTGTTCTGAGCAGCACCCAAGGGACCTAATGAAATGTTGTTTTTTTTTAAAAGAGAAGAAGATATAGAAAGTACAAATTGAATTTAACCTGACAGCAAAGGCCAGCGGAGTCTACCCTTTCCCAGGCCGCTTATTTTTTCCCTCTCTGCTTGGATGAAGACGCAGAAGAACATCCAAGCGCTAAGAAACGAAATTGTAGGAAAGATAAAAATGACAAATGAATATTGTCTCCCAAAAGCTGGGTG